ATGATGGGCGAGCAGTGTCCATACAACAGTTACGCATCCTATGCCTAAAAGCTCTTGAAAACCTACGACGACTAATGCTAGATATTTTTTGAACAGTTAGCCGTACCCAATATATCTCCACAGAAGAGCCCTTGAAGAGGAAGCAGAACTATTGTAAGACAGTGTTTGAAAAGGTAACTATACCAAACATCAATTGGCCATATAGACTAATGGGTACCACTACAGGATAGGCCATGAGGACTTACGGGTACCACTACAGGATAAAGCATGAGGACTTATGGGTACCACCATAGAATGGGCCATGAGGACTTACGGGTTCCTCTATAGGAGAGGCCATACAGACTTATTGGTACCATTATAGGATAGACCATAAGGATTTATGAGTTTCCTATAGGATAAGCTATGAGGACTTATGAATTTCCCTAAAGGATAGATCATGAGGACGTATGGGTACTCCATAGGATAGGGGATGAGGACTTACGGGTACTACCATAAGATAGAACTTACAGACTTATTCGTACCACTATAGGATAGGCCATGCGGATTGATGGTTACTTCCATACGATAGCCCTTGAGAATCTATTAATTCGGTCGTATGGTAGGCCTTCAAGGGCTTCAAGTACATACCCCTGAGTACCTGTATGAAGCTATGAGATAGCTCATATGAAAAGAAGTGGTGATGATAGATTCAAAATTAATCTAATATCAAACAAAAAAACTGAGGAAAACCTGAAAAACTCAAAAGCGCCCGAAAAAATCGGAATATCCAAGAAAATCCGAAAATCCAAAAAATCCAAAGAAATCCGAAACATCAAAAAAAATCCAACGAAATCCGAAATAATCCCCAAATCCCAAATTCGCTTTTTTCCTCTTGATTTTTGTCAGATGTTGCAAAATTAGTCTCAGCAGCAAACTATCGTTTTTCACAGAGCTCTTGATATTTCAGTTTTTTCGGGGTGATTTTGCATCCCGAATAGTGAATAGAATCTGTATAAAAAGTCTCAGTTTGATTAGACATATCAGAACTCAGTGAAACGAGGGACAAATACAATTTTGTTCACTTCTAGGAAGGAACGAGACTGAAAAATAGGAAGTACATGGAGCAGAATGAATCAGGAGGGGGCTAGAATTTTCTTTGCCCCATCCAGACTGTTTCCTTCCCTTTAAGCTAACGAGCAACAGTTTTTCATAACTCCTCTTCGCGAACATTTTATCTATGGGAAACACAATTAACTCAACCATTGTTAATCCAAAAGGTTCTGTTATGCTAATAAAACAGTTCGAAACAATTCTTCATAAATAGACAGGCCAGAACACGGCTGAAAAATGGAAAGTAGCGCGGGACAGAGTAGAACGTGAGGCATGAAATGAGATGAGGCATAGGACGCGAGACCGATTTTTATCGTTCTGCGGAACTCTGGAACCTACCATGTTGGAGAAAATAGCGAAAATAGTAGTCATTTTGACTCATCAGGGCTATAATATCTGCTTGAAGCAAATAATCAATTGATTAAGGCCTATGATAACTTTTCATTTATTAATTGACATCAAGTTGGTCAGAAAAGTATAGATTTCTGCCAGCCGTTCTCCGAAAGTGAGAGAAAGAAGCGAGATAACTTTAAACAAAAAAACGGGCAATTTGAATGATGAGATATGGCATACCGGCTTGAAATTATGCTAATATAAAACAAAAAACCTGAGGAAATATGGGAAAACTCGAAAAATTCAAAGAAACTCAAAAATCCCTAAATCTGCTTTTCCACCCTTGGAATATGATTAACTATTTTTTAGCACATACGATTCTTAACCTTTCTTGAGATAGACATACCTAAGAAGACTCAATACATGACAGCGAAAGCTGACGAAAATCCTAGTATGAATGAACACAAAAACTAGAAGACATTGAACGTTTTGCGACCTCTTTTACATACACTTTGACGAGAGGACTGGTCAAAAGTCTTCAAGAATGCCACTGTTGTGAATGAGAGAGGACAATTGACTTAATCAAGCCAATGTATCTCGTGAAGATAGAGCCTTGCCTTACAATAGAAAATACGATATTCAAATGATAGGCAAGGAATAAAAAGTTTAAAAGTTCGAAAAAAGGCTGTTAGCGCAATTCCTTACGGGATTACAAATGTGAAACACGATGTAGTTGCTATAGCCGATGTTCTAAAAGTTGTTGTTTTTTATGCATATTGGAATACATTCCTTCCTAATGGTTTACCTTACATTATACACTTTGAATCGGATAATATTCCATATATGCTCCAATCATATGTTAGTTATACATTATCTCTGATATTTGCTTGAAGTCTTCTTCAGTTTATAATGACCCCTGGGCCCTATGTATCATGCCCTATGACGTGCCCAGAGACCTGTCTGTCACGGTCTGTGACGGGTCCGGAGACCTGTCTGTCTGTCACGGTGTGTGATGGGTCCAGAACCTTGCCTGTCACGGTCTATGGGGGAGGTACAAATTTCTACCCCTAAACACTTCAACACTCCTGTCAGATCGTGTTTCACAACATCTCAAAAATCTAAAAAAATCCCGAAAAATCCCAAATAATCCCAAATAATCCCAAATAATCCCAAATAATCCCAAATAATCTCAAATATTCTCAAATAATCTCAAATAATCCCAAATAATCTCAAGTAATCTCAAATAATCCCAAAAAATCCCGAAAATCCCAAATAATCCCAAAAAATCCCGAAAAATCCCAAAAAATCTTCTTCGGATTTTAGAATCTGTAAAATCCCAAATCCGCTTTTTCCCCCTTGGAATTATGAAGAATATTCAGAGTTCGATGCTGACTTTCAAAGTAATACAATCAAGTTTAACTTTTCAGGGCCTCTGATCCGTAATTCGATGCAAATTTTGACGTATTAGAGTGTGATTAATGTGTGATAATAAACTAATAAATGAATAAGCATCGACTATATGCTTTACTTTATCTTATTTTACTAAATCTTGCTTGCTCGATAAAGTTAGAGATATGTCACTTTACTTTACTTTACTTTTTGGATAAAGTAGATCTACTTTACTTTACTTTAACAAAGTGAAATAGAGATAAAGTGCCACCCCTAGTCAAGACTTAAATATACAGAATAATAGAAAAATCCGAGCGCTATCAGAATATATGTATAATTACTTTTCTTAAAAATGTTTTTTTTTTATATAGTAGGTTAAAACAATTAGAGGATGGAACATAGATTAAGAACTATTGTAGCTAATATTTTGACATTCATATTTTGATGTGAACATCACTCAAAGACTCGCCAATTCGTCTGAATAGTTAAGGATCTTGACACATACTCACAATTAGAGTATCCGAATCTGACTTCATTAGTCTTAAATTGACCTTGAATTAATCACTAACAACTGTTTTGTCTCGAATCAATTATTACATGACAAAAATATGCACGTGGTTAACATATGCTGAAACTATGGGTAACTATTACGTCGGATTTTTTTAAAAATGCCATCCATCATTTGTTGAATAACTCTTCAGCATTGATAGCTATCGACTTCGGGTTTTAGCCATTCGATAGAGCAGCGCGGGGGGCGTCTATCTATATGAGACTCATTTAGACCAAAGAAGTTTTTTAATGGTAAACATTTAATTGATATATTTTTCGTTACAAACTTTCATTAGTTTTCATAGAGACTTAGGCTTAAATTAGAGCAAAATCTGGCCTGGACAGTACTGTATATGTGGTAAAATTTTCAGCTCTTTCTGTCATTGTCTTGAGTACGAGAATTCATTAAAATTTTGAGATTTTGACTAAAATTCAGCACCCTCTCTGCTACATTTTGAGGTAATTTAAGCCTAGGTCTCTATGAAAACTAATGAAAATTGGTAACGAAAAATATATCAATTAAATATTTACCATAAAACACTTCTTTGGTCTTAATGAGTCTCATATAGATAGACGCCCCCCGCGCCGCTCTATTGAATGGCTAAAACCCGAACTCGATAGCTATCAATGCTGAAGAGTTATTCAAAAAATGATGGATGGCATTTTTTTAAAAATCCGACAATAGTATTTAGTCAGTCAGTATGTATCGAGAACTTAAATGATTAAGTGAGAAAAGTTTCAGTTAGGTCAGCGTTCTGTTTAGAGCTACTTTTAGTAATAAATGTAGGAAAAATATCGAATTCTCGAAACTAGAGGGTGTGGATGCGGGTTATCATGAATACTTGGTCTCAACTTTTGTTTTTTTTCAGAGATTATTTTGAAAATACTCACAGTTAATTTGTTTTTCTGGACTTTGTTGTTTTTCTTCAATATTGCGTTCATCTTCGATTTCTCGAATGTAGAGAAATTGATTCCAATCAATTTGATTATTTTCAATAATAATGCTTTGATTGTGATCTTTTTGAATGAATTTTTCAAGTTTTTGTCTAATTTTATCGATTTCTTGTTTAAGTTGATCAATATCATTTTCAAGAAAAATTTCTTCTTCTCGACGTGAACGAATTTCTTTTGTAAGTGATTGAAGTTGTTTTGTTACTTTTGCTTGTTTTTTATGTATTAGCTCAGCAAGGTCATGCTGTGCCTTTTCTGCCGCTCTTTCAACTTTATTAATTGTTGTTTTCTTCCATTGTTCAATTTGATCGAAAAGATCTAGTGACAAATAATTTGATTTTTCTAACTTGTATAATTGATCAAGAAGTTCATCGTGAGATCTAATTATTTCGTTATCGAATTTAATTACTAATTGTCTTTCATGTTCTCGGAAATCCTTTGGACAAAAGTATGTATTACATCCAATGCAAAAACGAATTCCTGGTAATTTATTGCAGATTGAACATAAATTTGATTTGTTTCCTGTTGTCATTTCTCTTGGAAGAAAATCAATGTAATTATATTATTTATTATGTAAATATGTAGATCTAAAATGAATTCATATGAATATTTATAAATAAATAATATGAATTGTTTTACAAAGATAGAAACAAGATTATATTAATCTTTCACAGGTTTCTATGTTTACGATTTAACAATTACATTTGCTTTGCTCAAGTTTGGCTATCATAAACATTTCATAAATTATTTCGGACAATGAATTAAGTTTTTTTGAAAGAAAGCAGTTTATGATAATAGTTTATTGGATATGTATTGCCTTATTTTGAAGTGTTATAATACATAAATGCAAGATAAAATAGTATTGTATACTTGTAGCATGATACTAAAATTGACTAACACATAGCAAAAAATTCTTCTCAGTTTACATGTGAATGAAAGATAGTGAAAAAACTAACGAATGTCCACCTATGTTTATATAGAATTTGTTCGCTTAAATTCTAATAATTTTGTTTTCAATAAATAAATGTAAGGTCGTAAATGAACAAAGGGAATAATGGAAAATTTCAAGTGTTATCACAATATGTGATTGTCTTGTTCAAAAATAAAGTATTTCTACAATGATGAAAAACTTATTTCGAGAAAAATTCCAAAATTAAGTTCATGAAAACATACTGCTAAAAGGAATTCTATTGCATTTGATTGATTTGCTCGAATATAATAAAAATAGGCAATTTTTTGTTTCATCCAAATATCTATAATTATAATTTATAAGAAGCTATCAAAACAGATGTATTAGAAAGGCTGCTTGATCGATGGCTCGTTTTGGAGAAATACAAAGTTTCATTCAAAAAAACTTGAGTTAAAGTGTTTTGTCCTAAACGAAATTAAATAATAAACATATTTTCACAAAAAATAAATCAACACTGATCCAAATTGAATCAATTGTGATATCGTGTAAGAACTTAGAATAGGAGTATAAATTAGAAAAGCAAGTAGTATGACAAAATTGAATATGTATATTCATCTTCATCTTTAATCAAAAGAATAGTTTTAGACATACATTGGCTTTTTTTAATCATTTGGAGTTAACCATGACTCGACTAGTTATGCTATTTAAGACATATAAATTGAAAAAAAAACAAAAGTAATTTTCACGACGAAATATTCGAAAGTACTATCTATTATTTTAAAACAATTCAATCACAATGACAAAAGTAGTCAATGGGAAATGTTAATATTCTTTTATATCTTTCCAATTTTTATGGATTAAAGAGGAAAAAATTGTCAGTGACTAGGCAAAGAGATATGAATTTTAGTTTTCAAATATTCTTTTATTTCAATTATTCCAACTGAATAAGTTTTCATATCCTTGTTTTGATCGGAAAGAAAATCTTTCTATACTCTATTGCCAACTATTTTGACATAGATGACGTGAAGAAGAAATATTTTGTTTTTGTCTTTGGAATATTAATAGATGGGAATAAGATTTTCTACTAGTCTCTTAATTATTAATTTTAACCTAATTTTCGGCTTGAGTAAATACTTAATCTTCACAACAGAGAATACCGATCTTCAACAGATTCGATTTCATCTGTATACGAATTTCTTACTTGCAATTTTATGAAATCTTTGTTTTGTTGTTTCGTACAAAAGACACATGGGAAAAAAAAGATGATCATGTGCAAACAAAATATAAAGCAAAATTAAAAAACAGAATCCTACGTTTTTTTTTCTTTCGAAACAAAACGAAGTAGAAGAAAAACAGACTTTTCGTTGCGAATGCAATAAATACTAGAATAGTTGCGTCTCGGACCTATCATCATAAAATAAAATGACTAATCCTTTTTCGATCCACTAGAATAATCACACAAGAAAGATGCCACCAGCGTTCCGAATGAGAATTCGAAGTATAGTGAGATCCTGCACTCTTTTTCAGTAGGTGAGGTGAAATGTTGCACTCCGTTTCAACAACCAAAGTGCAAATATATAAATGCGTCTAGAAAAAAGAAATAATAGTTTATATTTCATTCTCTAGACTTCTATGTCCATGTATACATACAAGTAATAATTAAAAATAATATGTAAATCGTCATTTAGTAACAAAATTTAAATAAATTCGAAAAGAAAAATACAAATACAAATCATCATTAAATCATAAGGGAACCTTTCAAAATTTTTACCGCTCGGCCGTTCTCGTGCCGTGGCATAACATATTTTTGTTTTAATTACATTTGATACATTAATTGTTTTCTTTGAGGTATCTATATGTATACATCGTGTTTATTGTTCTATTTCTATTCAGTATTCTTTGGCTCTAGATTATTTATTTTCTCCAAAAATAACGATTTTTTTTAATGTGTGACAAGATTTTCCTTCAACTTGATTACATTGTAAACGTGATAATGATATTTGTCTCATTCTTTCTTGAGACCTTTTTGTTTTTTTTTTTGAATATCACCTATTTTTAGCTTCGCATGACAAAAATTCTGTAGAAAGTATTTGAAAATATGATGAAACGTATTATAAATGAATTAAGTTTATAGAGAATAACTAGTCTCGATTTGAATATGTATTTAAACTATAATCCACGAAAAATAGTGAAATAAAATAGTATAGCCATTCTTGTATAGAAAAAACATGACTAATTATTTCTTTAACAGAATACAGAAAATCAATAACTTGTTACATACGCATACACAAGACAAGTCAATTAAGGGAAAATATCTAACAAGAAATGTTCGGGCATGTATTGCTAATTAATTTTCATCATATAGAAATAGAATCTGATAATTCCAACAATCAAACAAATAAATTTATTTAGGTTTCAAAAAGAAGGTATTTTCAAAAGGAGAAAAAATAATTATTACATATCTTCATTGCACTAAATGATACGTTTTGTGGCTATTTATTTAACTTTGATAGCATATAAAGAATAAATTGTACGGGTGTGGGTGTGGGTGTGAGGGTGTGGTGGGTGGGTGTGGGTGTGGGATGAATTCAGAACCCACCCACACCCATCCACCCACACCCATCCACCCACACCCACCCACACCCCACCCACGCCCACACCCGCCCACACCCACACCCACACTCCACACCCCACACCCACACCCCCCCCCCACACCCACACCCACACCCACACCCCACACCCACACACCCACATCCCACCCACACCCACCCACACCCACACCCGGAATAGGATGTATTGTCGGTATTCATTTGAAATTTTTTCTGTGGGTAGTGTAAAACAAGCGCACGTATGTACCGCATGAAAGATAAAAAAGAAAAAAAACAAATATGGTCAAGGGCTTATGTGCGTATATTGAATCTTTTCGATAAGCATCATAACTATATATGTGCATGAGTAATTGAGAAAGGGTCGAGTTGTTTTTCTCTGTGAAGAACAAAATTCTGATTATCTTACTTTGGTCTCGTTTGCAACAACGCCATAAAAACATAAAGATAAAAGAACAGAATTGTTTTGATGATGTTGGAAAGATAAGCTTTGGGTAAAAAGACTGATGCAGCTAATTTCGAGCATATATTGAGAGATCGACCATTTCAAATAAGCATCAGCGTGATTTCGCATTTTCACAAGCCCTACACGTAAGAAAATAACATACTATCTCTGCTTTGTATTATCCTGTAAAAAACTTCATCTTCAGATTAGGGGTGCAGAATCTGCCCGTAGGGCGCAGCGCCGCTGCTAGGAAAAAATGGCTCTTTCGTGTAAATTTTCGAAAAATAAAAGACGACAGAAAATGTTACGCTCGATTAGAAATAGTAGTAAGTCATCTGTTGAAAAAATTTCCACAGCTTCAACAGGACAAGACGAAATTTTCCCAATGAGAAAATCGGGACTTCCCAAAAAGAAATTTTTTCCAAAAGAGCCAAATCTTCTGGGAAGGGAAGTGTAGACCATCTAGACAAACCGCTTGTTTCAAAAATAGTCTAAGTGTTACCAATGAAATCGACCTTTTCTTGCTGCATTTTTATAGCGATAAATCATCACTATGGAAATGTAGCAAGGAAATCGCGTTTCATTACTGATTTGACGAAAATCATGATTTCATGGGCAAGAATTACCGATTCGCTTGACATGAAGTTTATGCAGTGTTTCTGTTAAAAATACGGCCTTTCTGGAACCTTACAACCATCTACTGGTTTACCGTGAACGATTCACCGGTCTGAAACGATAACCGGTCGAGTTTGTGAATCGGTATGCACTGGTTTTCTCCGATACAATGGTTGGGAAGCTACCGTGGCTAGTTAATAAGTAACGGAAATTAATGCAGTTAATATTTCCACTAACGGAAGGCTTTTTGGGCAAAATAACGATTTCTTATCAAGTTTGACCAAAGGTTTTGCGGGTCGAGGAATCCGAATCGACGATGGGTTTCTCGAAATTGCCCAGTATAGGTTTTCACTCAGGAAAGGTTATTCAAGGAACCTAAACACCTGTTCTAAAGTTTGACCGAACCGGCTACCAAACAAATACTGTGACTCGTGTTTCAGTGAAAATCTCTAGTGGGCAATTTCGAGAAACCCATTGTCGATTCGGGTTCCTCGACCCGGAAAACCTTTGGTCAAACTTGATAAGAAATCGTTACTTTGCCCAAAAAGCCTTCATTTAGTGACAAGTAACGCTCGTCCGTGTGACTCGCTTGACCCTCGACTGCATATTCGGTCCTTTCCATTTTTTCTTCCGATTTACAGTCTTCAACACAGCTAGTATCAGATGTTCCAAAAGAGTGGGTAGGCATGTGTACACTGACATTGGCGTCAATCTCATTGTGCGTAATTTTATGCGGGCCCGGATAAACATTTTGTCACAAATGCATCCAATGAAATTGATACCATCACATTGACACTCAACAGTAAATCTAAGGAACCACACTATGATGACGGCATCCATATGTACCCAAAAAGAAGCTTATATTCAGCTTTCTGAGAGGTAATGAAGCAAAGCTCATTCGCGACACTTTCATGAAAATGCGCCATGCTCCTTAAAATTTCTACTAAAAGTCCGTT